TATAAAATGATGATTGTTGAGTCTCAACTCAAATCTATTATTGAGTAAGAATTACACAGATGATTGCAAATAATGGATAGATATCCATATGTTACGAAAATATTTTCTCTATAAAGAAGTTACACATTCCACTAATTTACATTAATTTAGTGGTTCAGTCTACTCTAAGAACATACGTGTGTGATTGACCTAGTGTCACCAGATTCAATTTTCCTTTTCTTTATAGTCATGTATCGTACATCATTCACAGTCTTATGTGCGATCTATTAGCATACATTCACTAACAAATAGCATATTTATAACACTGAACACAGTATTCACTGTTTGTGATACTACTCAGAAAAGTTTATATAGAAGCCACCGTTTTGAACATATTTGAGATTGATTTAGATATGGATAGATCACATTTGCTAAGAGCGACAGTCAACTTCAGTAAGCTATAGCAACAACTATGTTGCACTGACGAGCGTCTTGACTAAGAACTAGATATGCACGTCCTTAGTAGGTCACTAGTACATTTATTAGTCATTTTTACACCTAAGATACGCGTAATGATTGTTACTAGTATACGACATCTGATGACGCTATAGTTTTCGTCGTCACAGCAGATAATTTAGTGGCAATATGTCGTTATTTTTGACAATCAAAAAGTGTTATGTTACTTTAAGATTTAGAGAATTAAAACGCACAAATGGTATGGCCAATAATCATTTATAAGAAAAACGAATTCGAGGTTCAGTACTCTTTGTATCTGAAGTATTTTACATAAATTCATTTAATTATTATGATATTTTAAATTATTTGAATCATATTTTTGACATGACAAAGCCACTGCCAAGGGTAGTTATATCAAGTGAAGACACTTCGTGGATTGTCTTTATATCATCCGCCGGTCGGCCCCATTGACCTTGGGTTTCTACAGCATTATAGTACTATATATTATAAAAACTAGACACATCTTAAGTATTTTGATGCTAAACAGCAACCTGGAAAAGTTACAAAATTAACTAGTTTGACTACTTTTTAACAAATTATATGAGTAAGCGATGTAATCAAAACTTTGCAGCGATTTATGGGCGGGACGCCATTGCTTTAGTGATTCGCTCATATATGGTTCGACATTCCGCCAAGGTTCTATGCCTTTCGCTGCATGTACCGGGACAGTGATGCCAAACTAACAAAAATGTTTAGAAAACGCCACATTTATACTGAGCTGCATGGCTTTTTTTACACAGAAGCAGCCGTGAAGGCAGAAGCCTAAACGTCAGGGTGCCGCGGCTGCTATGAGGAGCTTAAAAAACTTTGTTAATCCGATTTTTGAACTGCCTCAGGTTAGTAGAAAAGAGCTAGATCGCTGACGCCCAGTAGGTCGATGCGAAAGGGGTCCGTTAGAAAAGAGTAATCGATCAGTTGGACAGCTCTTCTATGAACAGCATCGATTACGGATAATGCAGTAGAGGCGGCAGTACCCTAACTATGAGCATTACTCTTATCTGGACAATGTACAGAGGATGTCCTGTGGAGAAAAGTACTTTTTAGCCCTAAATAAATAGCCTAGCTTTTTCCCATTAGCTGCCACTATTGACGAAGTGTGTTAGTGCCAGATCAAGTTCTCGGTGATCTGAACTCCGATCATTCGAAATGAACGGCTCTTTGGTAGAACTTAGCCATCCATCAAAACCGGATGAACGCTAGAACACTTCTTGTTAGCTAAGGTATAGTTCTGTATTTTGGAAGCATTAAACTGAACAAGCTTGTTGCGTCCCCAATCGGTGATAACTTCCAGGTGTCTCGTCAGAGAGAAAGTCGCTGCTAGTTTTCTTTTCTCCAGCTCACTGGCAGAGATCAGTTTGTCACTCTGAATTCCTGCATGTAGTGTGCTGACATTAGCAAAGCTGTGGATCCGATTGATTGTACAGCTGATCGAACGTACTTGTGATATCAAGAGCAGCGACTTGAGCCTCACCATAAGACTGGGTGAGTTTACTCCTCAGTTGCGTGACGTAAGCTAGGAGATCCCCCGTGGATCGCTTAAGCCAGAAACCATATTGCCCGTCGGTAATCAAGCCGTGACGTTCGAGGTACTCCAGGAGGTCCCTACCTAGCACCTTATTTATAACAGAAATAGCTATAGTCCTGTAGTTGTAAGGGTCGGTCTTAGATCCTTTTTTAGGTTGGGTTGGACATAAGCTAATTTCCAGTTTTTTGGGAAAGTGTCGGATTCGTAATCAATCATGTCAAATACACCGACAATTGGGCAAATAAGCAATTTGAAATTAGACAAAATTTAAATTCCAAAATGACGTTACTAAACTACATCAATCCTTAAAAGTTATATAACTATGAGATAACTTATAGATTTTGAGAATAACTTCTGTTTACATGATGGGGAGAGTACTCGTCAAAAGTGTGCTTTATAACTGTATTGAATGAAAAATAATTTCGTAGGCCGTGTAAAAAATACGATAAATATCAACATCATGAAAAATACCCAAACAAAAGTGAATTTGAGTGCTTTCACTACAAGTGACTGATAATAGTATATAATATATAATAATAATAACAATAGCTTTATCTATGTGGCAACACCGTATTTATCTCTGTCCAAATCAGAACAGCATGTATTTGGACCCCATAGTCTCTCGAATTTATTCGCCTTGTCTGTCTTGCCTTGATATACTACTCTTTGGCCACAGTATGAACCAAATAATACGAGTCGCTGTACTTTAAACGTAAAGCCACCATTTGAAAATGTGTTTTTAGCTGATGTTGTCATAGTAATTGATAACATTTTGAATAGTTACATTTCCGTGACAAATTACTTTGAACAAGTTTACAACTCTTCGTGAGCAATATGCGCAGGCGTAGGTTTTTCGATCCTTCCTACAAATATCTCACAAGGATTACTTAGCACTAAGCTAAGAACGAACGGATGATCTGCAATGAATTCTTCTGGGAAAGATGCGGATTTTCTAACCCTGACGTGCAAACCTAAAAATATCAGTTTTACCTTTGGTGCCAGTAATTCAATGTTAGTGATTTATAGCTGTGTATAAGGAAATTATAAAAGCGCCTAATGCCTTGGAGTTTACCACTTCATTACAAAAATTTGAGAATCGAAAAAATTAAATAGATCTCAAGCTTGTGTAATAGTACTTTAAATTATGCAAGTAACATACAGGATGTTCCAATGAGGGGAAAGTACGTTTTCGAGAGATTCAAAATCGTTGTCCACAGAGTCGAAATTTCAAACGCAAATGACAACAAAAATGAGCGAACGAACGAAGTTTTAGTTTGGCATTCAAAACATTTTATCACTGTTGGTTTCTAGACTTCAACATACTGCCAAAACAAATTTTTCGATCAACATTTATTCTCCACTAATGGGGTATAAGGGGAACTCTGTACACACATACTTTCAAAAAGTTGTATAAGTTGCAGCAACTCATGTTATATTTGGAACTTTGCCATAGAAAACAGGCCGGTTTTAATAACTGCATAAATATGGGCAATGAAAGCATATTATCTGCATATACTTACTTTGAATATAAAATCTTCACAATTAGTTTGCTGATTCTTCACAACCAAATCGCTGTCACTTGCGATCATTTAACTGTCACTCTATCACATTAATTGAAAAGTGTAACTTGCACAACGATTTTAACGACTTAAATGTAAAATTATTTGAAAGACGTCTGAGTAAACCGTTAGTCAGAATCATTATACAGTTCAGCATACGTCATCGCTCCATAACAAATGAAGCGATGAAAAAGTGCATTCAGCAGATACAATTCTCCCACAACTGTCAACGCTAGCTACCTTGTGAGTGGTGCATAATGAAAGATGACTTAACATCTGTCAATCACAATGAGCTGAACTGAACGGAAACCGAATAGTCTTTGCATCTGATGGAAACAATATTCTGAATCGGGTTTTTTTTGCTCAATACTGTTAAAAGGTGAACCCTTTTTTTTGAAAATTTTTTCAAACAAATTATGAAAATTGTTTTTTCGCTCCTGTCAAAGTGTTTTTAAGTTTTTTAATACATTTCGAGCAAAAAAATGTTCTTCGGAACTGTTCTCTTAGGTTGATAGTTTTCTAGGTATGAGCGATACAATATTTGAAAAAATGCGAAATTTGTCTTCTTTCGGCCTCGAAAAACAATATGAAAAAAAAAATTGTGACCAAGCTTTTTTTGTGAACTCCCAACGATGTAAGCAGAAAAATGATTATCACACGGTCTTTATACTTCCAAAAACATGACTGGTGAAAATGGCGATTGGCCAGCGTATTTTAAAAGCGTCAATTCCAGGCAAGTAATGAAGTAATAAACCAGCATTCCCACTCCAAGCAAAAAAAAACAATATAAGCAAGCTGCATGTCCCACTTTGTATATCTGAACTGGCCGAAACAGTAAATATATTTCAAATCTTTAGCACTATTCATTAAATTAGGTGCTTTGTTAAAACAATACAATATCATAGGGAAGATGTACAATACTGCTTATGCACAATATGAAAATGAACATAAAAAAGCTCACTTCAGTGCAAGAATTTTTAGTCAACAATGACTTAAGCGAATAAGCAGGAATGAAAGGATTCCCAAAACGGAACTTTTGAGATGCACGCTTCTGAAAGGAAGGAAATATAAAAGAAGCCAAACTCTTCCGCTGAAGTTCCTTTATACATAATCAAATGACAACCCACCCAAATGGAAAATGTCGCCGCGAGTGGGTATGTAACTTTAAGGAACATCACTTCTGTTATTTAAAAAATATAAATATTGGAGAATATAGTCAACTACCGAACACGACATCTTCACAAAGAAAGAATACCTGTTATATTATAATGAAAATTTGAGCTATTAACTTGAAATAGCACCAAAATCACGGTGAATGTATATGTTGAATGAATACTGTTAGATTTTCTGTAGAATATTCTCATTATTCAAGGTTTCGGCCAGCTCAAAAAACAAAGTATTTGCTAAGCGAAAAAACCTACCTGAGGCTGCAGCTGCTTCTGTTCCTTCTTCACCAACTTCAATGAAGGCCTTTTGGACAACTTGAGACACTGCCAGGCGTTCTGGATTGTCAAGCATTCCAGAAAAGTCAGCTTCATCTGTGAAAATTTGTTCAAGACCGGCCTGAAATAAACATTTAATCAGTATAGCTAGCTGTTGTTTCAAATTTGATGACAGTCTGGATGATTCAGATGTTCCATTGTCTATAAAGTTTTTTGTTTCACGAAGTTTCAATTGATGTGATGGTCAATCAGTTAACCTGATGAGGATTGAAGACATCAATCGAAACGTCGTAAAACAAAAAACTTTATAGACAAGGGACGTCCGATAAACAAAATCTCAGTATGGGTAGTTCCAGACATCTCTAATGAAAGAACGATGCAAAAATAACACGGATGTCGAAATCGAAAAAACATTATGCACAGTGTCCCATTTTAATCTCCTCACCCAAATATTTCGAAAACGGCGCGTTCTAGAAAAAAGTTTCAAACGAGAGTTGTATGGTTAAAGGGGACAAAATGACGGTGACCTTGACGTCGACCCTCAGTGATTTGAAGATCAAGTGAATATTTTTGACTGGGACCCTCGCTTCTTCACATCGGAATTGAAATAGGAGCAAATTTTACGACCGAACATCACCTTGGACATTACCTTGACCATCGCCTCAAAGCCATTTAACCCCTTACTGCATGATTCTTTGCTTTTGTTAAAAAATATATGCGATAGTTCATATTTCAAAAGTAACTAGAAAAATATATGTGATCAATTTTTTTAAAAATGGCCTTTTTGATATGTGCCAGATTTGGCACAAATTTCAATAGTTGGATGAAAACGAAAAAATTAACTGAAACCATATTTATTATAAACCATTAAAAATACATGGAAAAATGTCCCGACTAAATGCAATTTCGAAGATATATTTAGTTATTCCAGATGGAAACGGCGAAAGCAATTCCGGTCTTTGTTTAAACATAATCTAACATTACATTTATCGCACGAAACTTGTGTTTGTCCACTACACTCAGAAAATTTGCATCTCTGGTATCTTGATACCACTCAGGAAGATATCCCATATTGTCGCGACGAATTTCTTGGGCTGGTATTTACGCAAAAGGATATTTACTTTTTTTAAATCCAGTTGTAGCTCTGTATCAAGCTGTTCCTCTTCACTGGTATCTTCCATCAGAACTTTAGAAAATGTTGACTTAGAAAATAAAATAGATTTCACGTGTGCCAAATTTGGGACAGTTATCGAAAACAATTTGATTTAGTAAAACTGTGCGGCATAGTTGTCAGGTTGGTGAGAATCACCCAAAGATGACCTTGACTAAGTGCTCAGAGTCACGACCAAGGTGATGTTCAGACGTAAATTTTTATCCTCTTTTCTAATCCGATGTGAAAAAGGAGGTGTTTTATTTGAAAATAATCGCTTGAACTTCAAAAAACCTTAAAGATCGTAGTCAGAGTCACCATCATTATGGCCTCCTCGAAACTCTATCGTACCTCGTAGCTTTTTTCGATGAAGTTTTTTTAAAGACCCTCGTTCGGACTCAAAACGGTCATCCACAAATATTAGCCAAAGTGATTCTACTTGTTCGCAGATGAATATAGTGTATCAAACCTAAAAATTATGCAATATTTCTTAACGGAGTGGGACAAAAAAGGTGTTCCTAACAGATTTCCCCCCAATTTTCATAACTAAAACGTCAGCTTAGTAACACACAAGTAAAGTTGTTTACCTTACTATTACAGCATAAACACTATTGTGTATGTAGCAATAAAACTGAAAAATATGTTTACGACAGCATTAATAGAAAACACAATACTTTATTGGTGTTTCATACATATAGTGCTTACACACGTCACTTTGTAACAAAAACTTATAGTATTCATAGAGAATCGAATTCTAATAGTAGTAGTTCTTAACAATCAACTATTATTTACAACAATAAGCATTGACATCGCAAAAATTAGCTGTTTGAAAATAACTTTAGGGAATAATGTAATAAAACGAGTATGACTTATACAAAATAGAAAATGTTAGAAGGATTGCAAATACAAAGATCTATTCAGAAGTTAAATAGGTTTGGATAAAGAGAACAATGAAAGAATCGACGACATTCTAACAAAAATGGTGCGATATTAGATTTATGGCTTTAGAAAGGTTGGACTTTCAGCTATTGCACCAACCATCTACTTTTTGCAATACAAACTTATTATTTATACGCTTATTAAATTCGAATAATGAAGTGATTCATAAAGCAAACAATGTTTTTAGGTCTGACTATCGATCACAAATAAGGTTTTACCAATCATGTAGAACAATCATAATCACTGCACTGTTGAAAAAATTAGTTACAACTTTGGAACAAGCACAGTTACTTTGCCTTATATGAAAGTTGATCAAGCTACAACATGTCTTTTTGGCGTGACTGTGTTCAAAATTATTTGAAAAAGTTGCTTATACTACAGGAAAAATCACATAAACTCGTATAACCAAAAGCACTCCTGGATTTGCACGCAAGCCTTTATTTCTAAATCCCAAAATTATGACTGTAGTAATAACTATTATTTTTAAAAATTTTCGAAACATGAAATATGTATTAGACAAAACAAAATTTTCAATTAATAGTACCGAAATCAACATATATAGGTGAGATTCCATAATCCAAAATAGTTTAGAAATAAAGAGTTTACATCCTGATACAAAAAACAATAATATTTCGACGTGAACATACGTTCTAATTAATAAATCATATCCAGCGCGAATTTAGAGGGGTCTCCCTCTCCTAGTCGTCAAACGTGTCGTTTTCCAATAAAATTGAACAAATAGCTGACCTTGGTGCTAAAATTACCTTGCCAGGCCTCAATCATAGAGACGTAACCCCCCCCCCTCTTCAATTAAAAGTCTTCGATACCCCCCTTTTGAGACGAGCATCATCCTGAGCGTAAATCTTGCGAACATAATATGGACATTATTTCACGGGATTCCAAACTACCATCTCTTACAAAAAAAAAAAAATGTAATGCCTATACTTACATCTTTCAGTGGCTGGGTGAGATCCATAACATCTGTCTCAATCTTGAATTTTGGTAGGGATACTTTGACCTCAGGTTTATACATATTCTCTGTAATTGTGGACAAATCTACTGTGGCTAATTTCTTCTCTAACTCATGAATTCCATTCCTCTTGTTGGGCAAAATAATGATCATACTCAATTCCTTATTTGAATATGGCAATTCCAATACCTTAGCATCAAGAGTTTCATCTTCTTTGTAAAACAAATTCTTTGTCAGATGCATCATTTGGACATCCATTATCTCATCATCATTAATGTAGAATTTTTCAGTCTGTGTTTGTGCTACAGGGAAGGGATGCGACCATTTTCCTTTGAAGTAGATAGCGTTTACAAGTACTAATCGTGTTAATTCATCGAACATATCAGCATTAACCAAGTCTTTGATTCTATTGTTCGTTTTATTCTCAACCCAAGTGTTTATAATCTTTGCAGCTTCTTCTTTTTTCTCAAAATCTACCGATTCTACTTCTGACTGGAAGTTCTTAGCTATTGTTGCAGCATAACTTGCTTTAAAAACGTATTTGTTTTTCAAGAATACCTTATTGGCTATCGAAAGGGTAACATTTTTTACAGAGTTTAAGCTCTTCATGACACGTTCATAGCCATCAGCTGAAAAAAAATTCATTAGGTCAATGTTCATATGCCTTTTGAGAAATCCAATCTTTTTTTCATGCTTTCCGGAAGTCGTCAGACCAAAATGCACTGCAGCCTCTAAGGCTTATTGACCTTTCCAACTTTAATAAAATCTAATATTTTAGACACTAACAATCAATGCATAACACGTGTTAGAAAGAGAACATCCTGATTTATTGTCACTCTTTGCGACAGGAGGAGGTCGGAAAATGTAACAAATACCATTACGAAATACAAATCATCACTGCCTGCGTGTACGTGATATTTCGAATCAGGACGACACTTCCCAATGAGCCTTAGATGGGTACTGACCAAAATTGCTCATCTATGATCATGGAGTTGGAAACATTGCCTTGAAAGGAACGAGATGCGGTGTTGCCAAGCGAACCAATGATGCAATGTTGCATAATTTGTGGCAATCCTGACCTTTAATTTTGGCCTAAAACGGAGCGCTGTGAGGACCGCTCCGGAATCGATCCTAAACAGATTCGACACAATTCACAATTCAAAAATAAATTATTTAGGCATAGAGAATAAACTAACACATATTTTCAACATGCATCTTAATTCAAGGAACTCGTGTAACATATCGGCAATGAGGCACGCACCAGCGTTGCTGGGCAACGCGGTGATAAGCTTCGCTATCCATCCGGCACCTTCCCAGAAATCTGGAAATTTGCTCATGTCCAACTCATCCCCAAAAAAAAGGATCTTTACCGAGCCTAACAACTACAGGCCTATAGCTCTGCTTTCTGTAATTAGTAAGGTAATGGAGAGGTGCATAAATCGCGACCTTCTGGACTACCTTGAACGTCACGGCTTAATTAGCGACAGGCAGCAGAAGCGATCCACCGGGACCACCTAGCTTACGTCACGCAATTGTAGAATAAGCTCATCCAGACTTATGGTGAGGCTCATGTTGTTGCTCTTGATATCATGCAACTCGCACTCGATCAGCTGTCGCATACTGCCCTCTTATGCAAACCTCCATCCTATGGCCGCACAGAGAAGCTTTGCAGATGGATATGTAGCTTTCTCTCTGGCCGCAAGATATCCGGCACAATTGACGGATTCTCCTCTTCACCCACAACGTCAACGCAGGTGTTCCCCAGGGATCGGTCTTGGGTCCAACACATATCAACCACCTCCTTTCCTGTACGATCAACGCAATCCACAGATTTGCTGATGGCAGCACTCTACATGCAGGAATTCAGAGCGACAAGCGAATCTCTGCCAGTAAGCTGAAAAACAGAAGTCTAGCGGCGACTTCCTCTCTGACGAGAGACCTGGAGGTTATCACTGCTTGGGGACGCAACAATCTTTGCCAAAGAGCAGTTTATTATTCAGAGGAGGGATCACTCTTCTTTAAGACAGTCTCGGGACCCTTTCGCATTGGCGGGGCGTCGGCGATCTAGCTCTCTTCTACTGCTGCACCAATAGGCTCTGCTCCTAAGAGCTCTCCTCCATGATGCCGCCGCACGATGTTCCTCCTTTGTCCCGAGGGTGTCGAAATTGTGGAATAATCTTCAAGAGGAAGCTTTTCCCAGTTCTACTAACCTTAGGCAGTTCAAAAATCAAATAAACAAAATTTCTTTGGGATTCTCATAGCAGCCATGGTGGCCTGGCATTTAGGCTTCTGCCTGCGTGGCTGCTTCGGTTTGAAAAAGCAAACCTGCTAACACGCTGACTGCCACCTTTTGACAGTTAGTTTTACCCAGGAGCCAATTAGTTGTATAATGGTTAATTTGTTATTTTGGTGGTATAACTTCGTAAAATCATTTATTGAGGTATTTTCGTAAAATGTTTTTTTAATTAAAAGATTTTTTGTGGCTGCTTCTAAGAGCCGACGGCACTGACGTACAGATCGGTTTCCTGTGTGCCAGCTGGCGCTTATAAGAGTCGGAAGATAATTATTTGTTTTTTATAATAGAAATAAACGAAAAGTAAAAAAACATTTATTATGGACCGTTAACAAAGATGAAATATTAAAAATAATTTTTGTAACTCAAAATAGTAGAGAATATATAAAAATATAACAAAACACACCTAAAATGTGATAAAATCTAATCAAAAATAAGAAATGAAACAACTTTTATTTAGAATACAAACATGAATTTGTGGTGAATTCAGACTATTTTTAGTGCAAAAAATGATTTGTGAATAATATCACTGCACTCCAAGCAGAATTCTAGAACATTAGGGCATGTTCTACATTCATACATCGTTTGTTTACAGATTCCCTTCTTGCTATATCTGGCATCTTTTTCTGGATACTTGTTTTTTACCATCTAAATCATGTTTTACTAATTTGTGCGCTTGAGTGCCTGCGGTATTGTACCCTGGCTCTGATAAGAGTCAGCGGCACCGGCAAACATCTCGCGTTGACTCATAAGAGCCAGCGGCAGCCAACGTGTTAAAATGAATAATATCCCATCAATTACATTCAAATAATACAAATGTCTATAGAAAAAATTACAATAATGGACATGAACCCTTTTTGTATTGGGGTCTTCTATTAATACTAAATATATGGGGTGGAGTGATTCAGAAATGTGTGGCAATACTTCTATTGTAGAAAGTACATACACAAATCACAAAAAAGTTTTTATAAACATATTGTCCCTCAGTTTCAACACTGCATAACTAAAACTGACAACTTTTCAGGAAAGAAAAAAAAAGGTGGTTCTTTGGATATCCTATCAAATGACATGGATTATCTTAATGTAAAAGAAATGGTAATAAAATACAAATATTGGAGGAAACTATTAATCATATATTTAAGTAACAAAAAACAAAATTATCATGAAGAAATACTCAAAAATTGAAGTCATGTTTCTGAGATTGCAGCATAGCGTGAACAATTGCATTCTTTTCATCCAAAATTTTTAAAATATCTTTAAAATATCAGTAACATAGGTAACTTTATTTAAACATTGTTCATTAACCAATGATTGCCTTTTTTTCCATCTAAATTGGAAGTTTTGATTCAAATACGAGTTGCTTTTTTTTCTTTCTCTAGATCCAAATTTGCAGCAGCTATATTGCATGCCACACAGTCCTCAAATTCTATATGCCTCACAAAAAAGGCTGTGGTGTTTTAAATCTTTCTTTATATTTTTTTTTTGTTAACTACTCGTATATGCTCAAGGACTTCCAATTAACTTTCCTTCCACAAAAAAAAATCATTTGGGCCATTATGGTCGTATTAGCCCTTACATAATTAGATTATCAACATACCAGATTCTTCGGGACCTGGCACTTTGAGGACATTGGTAAGTGCTTGTTGTGTTTTGCCTTTCGCTCCTTGGTGTACCATCGAAAGGACAGCATGAACACTGATTGGGGAAAAGAAAACATTTCCTTTCTCCTTTGACAGAGCTTGGTAAAGAGTCTTTGTGAACTCTGCATTTCCTTTCAGCACTGCATCCAAATGAACATCCTTAGCAGTCGCCATGGCTAAAATGAAGGCCAATACACATACAGCACTTTTTGTACCTGAAATAAAAAAAAAGCCTTGGAATCGATATTACAGTACGTCACTACCGATAAGAAGACCGATAAGGACATACCTTTTGGAAAACCGGCACGCAAAGATATTTCGAAGCCGCTATGTATCTGCATATAGAAGTCTGTCTAACGTTAAATACAAATTGATTATTTTAGCCTTGTATGCGCCCAGTTGCAGCAATGATATGCGTTCAACACGCGGCAAAGCGTAAAATTTGTAATCAAACATCCGCCCACAAATTTTCAATTCAAATCATCTTCTCTCTCACTTCTAGCATTAAAGAAAAACAAAACATGACAGATACATAACCTCAAAAGTTGGAAGTTAATTGATTGATGCGACATCTATGATAGATAGTTGAGCTAATTTTCATAATGGGGTTTTTCCATGTGAACAGGATCAAAGCCGGCAACGAGCACGTTTGTACGTGTTTTGTAGTATAGTTCAGGATCTGTGCTATGCTCGGGCTTCACCGATCTAACAGCCAAATCACGACTACTTTTTACGAAATAGAATGTTAAAAACGTTTCGGTAATTGGTTGCCTAAAGAAATCCTGAATATACCTACTACTATTAACTGAATAATAATTATGAGGTTTTATTTATTGTTTATTTTCACCGACTGATATATGAAATCAACAAACATATAAATCGATTTGGTATAAGGATGCCTGCAAATGACCTGTGCGAAATCACCGGTTGCCAAAGGATTTGAAACAAATCTATACAGGGTGTTCCTTAATGATGTGCGAATATTTAAGGGTGTGAATCTACATGAAAAAATAATGTTAGTTTGCTTTATAAACTATGGTCCAAAACTGTTTCCTTAGAAAAACTCCGGGTGTTGAAGTTTTAGGAAAAAAATGGAAATTAATTAATATTTTCAGAACCGCTTCAGATATTTCACTGATATTTAGTAGGTAGTGAAAGTTAATAAAGTTGCATATTTTTCAATGTAAAAATAATTTTTAGCTTAACAGTGGCGTGCGTACGGGTATTGACGTCAATATTTTTTAAGAAAAAAATGGTACGCCAATGGTCTTTTGTCAAATAAAAATTATTTTTGAGTTCCCCGTTCAATTTAAAACAAATGATCTCCTGAATTGTTTTCCTACGATGCGTCATTTTTGAGTAAAAAAATAAAAACCGTTCTATTGTCTAACTTGCAAAATTATTATTAATTTAATTGAAAAAATTAAACACATTAGGGGTAATGAACAACAACAAGTGACAACATAAACATAACATTAAAACCAACGAAATGATTACAAAAATTGTTGAAAATGGCCCCCTTCACTTAGTGTGCGTGCTTCCGCCCTCCTTTTCATGGAATTGTGCACTCATTGAAATATCCCTAGTGTTTTTTATTCTATCACAAGCTGCATTTATTCCTTCTCTTAATTCCTCTTCAGTGTTAATGGGACTTGTGTACACTAGTGTCTTAACATAGCCCCACAAAAAGAAATCTAAGCTATTGAGGTCTGGGGACCTTGGTGGCCATTCTTGGGGCCCACCGCGGCCAATCCAACGATTTGGATAAACAGTTTGTAAATAATTACGAACCGCTACACTGAAATGCGCTGGTGCATCATCATGTATGTACCACATATTATTTCTTATTACTAACGGAACTTCATCAAGCAGCAAATGCAACTGTTGTTGAAGAAAATTGAGGTAAGCCTGTCCGTCAAGTCGCCCCGGCAAGAAGAATGGGCCAATAAAGTGGTTGCCAATAATTCCAGCCCATACGTTAACCGAAAATTGGTGTTGGAAATGGGTTTCGGTTACGGCATAGGGATTTTCTTCTGCCCACAAATGATTATTGTGGAAATTCTGAATGGCATTTCGAGAAAAATTAGCTTTGTCCGTGAACAGAATCATTGAATCAAATTGCGAATTTTGTGTAATTTTTTGAAGATACTACTGACAAGAGGTCACACGCCTTAGAAAATCAATGGGAAGTAATGCCTGTACTCTTAAAATATGGTAAGGATATAACAAAAAATCCACTAAAAGTCTCCAAACAATTTGATGGCAAATATTTAAGTGTCTAGCGATCTTCCTCGTACTCGTTTCAGGATGTTCTGCGACTTCATGCAGAGCTGCTTCCTCAATTTCAGATGTTCTCACACTTAGAGGTCTACCTTCTGATGTTCTTTTTCACCATTACCGTCGGCAAGGCCATATACGTAATGCATTACCGCTATTTCTGCATTTGAATAATTCACAATTATTAACAAGATTATAAAAACTAAATAATGAAAAAGATGTCACAGCGAACAGATTTGAATAACAGAGACTTTTGTCAGATGTCAAAAGCCAGTGACATTATTTTATAAAGCAAACTAACATTGATTTTTCAAGTAGATTCACACCCTTAAATATTCGCATATCATTAAGGAACACCCTGTATGATAATGATTGTCTTTATTGGGTTAACCAAAAGACGGAGTTCCATGGCGTGCTGTTCCACTCAACCTTAAAGTATATGTTTTCAAGTGCGAGCGATTGCTTATTATTTGTGCTACCCCGTGTGGAATCCATTAATGAAGGCCTGCCGATACACTATTAAAATAGGCATTAGATAGTGTCACCTCGAGCTCTAGCTCACTAATTCGTTGTGCTAGAGAGGAAATTTCTCCAGATTTGTTTCAAACATGACTAGATCTTCAGATGTACCATAATTCATTGAAATCGGAAATAGTCATCTTTTGTGAAACGCGAAATTTTCACGACCATTCGATTCGAATCAGGGGCTTCACAAGACATATCTTTCGAGTCACTCAGACATTCGGTACGCAGTCCGACCACTGCAGCTCGGACAACTTGGAACGTTTGTTGGCAGATTTCTGACTGCCGTCTTGTACTCTGGGAAAGTCGGCCCAGTAGTGTCCACTCGAAGCCTGGAGTTCCGTTGAACTCCTTGCGGTAGGTCTGGCGAACGTGCGCAACTAAGTACGTACAAGCTGTCGCTTGGAAATCTGCATTTTGAAACCTTGTGTTTTTGCTCGAGGGCAAAAATAAGGGTTGTAAAGCTCTGGTTAGCCTTGGTCTTCCTCGTCTGTTTGTCAGACATAGTGGGTGGGGAAACGAAGACTGCTTAGACTCGCACAAGCAGCTCCTTCCCGTCAACATTCACGTCGACACCGACGAAAGCGGAAACCTGGCGGGCTATGAGCTAATCTAAATATATATATATATATATATATATATATATATATATATACTACAGGGTCCATCAGAAAGAGCGCATGTTTTTGGAATGGGTACTACATCGAGTGGGCTGGTCCGTTGTCGGTGGGGACGGGCGTGTTGGATAATGGTAGAAGTGCCGTTTCAGTTGGCAAAATGGTTTGGAACATTGGGCATCGTGTGTTCGAGAAACAACTACTGTGAATGAGCGTTACATCCACATGCTGAACAACTATTTTTTTCGGAACTTCGACGTCGACGTGTTCGTATCAGAACAGTGTGGTTCCAACAAGTCGGGGAGACATCTCACACAGCTCGCACTTCGATGGAACTTCTTCGGCAAAAATTCCCAGGACGTCATGACAATATTCCATGGCCCCAACGGATCTGCCAACGTGTGATTTTTTATGGGGCTACCTGGAATCAAAAGTTTACTAAAGCAAGCCTCGAACCCTCGTCGATTTGAAGGAGGGAATAAGAAGAGAAGTAACACAAATTCCTGCGCGGATACTGGCCAACGCAATGGGCTCATTTCGGGAGAGGCTTGATTCCTGCATTTCGGCTCAAGTGCGCCATATGGCCGACATAGTTTTTAAGACGTAAATTTTGTTTTACTCAAGAAAATGGCATGTATTTCTGAGTATTTTGATATAATAAAATATTTTTTCCTATACTTATTTTGACTTACATTTAAAAAAACATGCGTTCTTTCTGACGGACCCTGTATATAGGTGTTGTTTTGGGATTCTCCCATGACGCACATTTATAATTGTTGTCTTAGAGACGTCCATTTCAGGCCTGAAATAGGTCTAAACGTCGCAGACATTTGGAGGACGTCTTAGACCTGCAAAAGACGTCTATATGGTCACGTGATCGTGATGACGTCTTTAAAACGTGTTAGTTCAGACTTTGATGGAATAGATTTTATGTACAAGTATTCAGTGAATAAGGCTTACTGAAGTCGTCTAAAAGGTTTTTCATATGAGTCTTCCAAAGTCAGATAGGCTCAGATATATGTCCCGGAAGGTCTTTTCGGAGACCTGTATAAGACGTCTGCATTTATGGTTTCTAAACGTCCTTAAAACGTGTCTTTAAGACGTCTTTGAGACTTACCGACTGGGCTCACCAAAGACACAATAATGATGAATTCCCAATAGCACAAAGAGACGTCAAAATGGCGCCTTTAAGACATCCGCAAACGGGACTTTCCGGGCATTTTATATGCTATATGTACGTGTATCTGTTCACTGAGACGTCCTTAGGACGTCTTTTATTTTCCGTGATTGTTCGTGAACGGTAAATATGTGAGTAACTTTGGATGGCATTTCCAGGTAGGTATAAAAACTTATTTCTTCGAACTATTCATATTTTCCGACTGTACGCTGGTGATTTTGTATGTCATCTGTTGGCGCAAGCGCAAATGCGAACGGACGATAGACGCAGACGCCAATGGACGCCATTTTCGTATATGCGTCATACAAAGTATAATTATGTTTTTTTACAAGCTTCCCTTCGTTAAAGGTTAGATTTTTGGTCCTAATTAAAAAAGGTGAAACGCAAATTAGCACAAAGGATGCGTGTATCGGTATTCAAAGATTTTCATCAAATACTGATTATTTTGTAGGTATACAACATAGCACCCATCGCGGAGCTATGCAGCCTCCGAATCTCGGTATGGACCGATTCTCACCAACAGATTACCATTATCATCATTATTCGTATAGCGAAAAGTACGGAGGTAGACGGCAATAGTCGTCAAAAAGGGATTGTATATCCTAGCAGCCATCTAACAGAC